CTAAGTGTCATTCTGTTCTTTCCATATTCCTTCCCCCCCCCCCACCCCAACTGAATGTAAGAGAGAATGGAATGGGTGACCGTCAATTAGATGAGCTACAAATCTGCTTCAGTATAGGTTTAATCAAAACTTTAAACGGTGACTAGGAATCTGAAGGCATAATACATGCTATCACAAATTAAGTATTTCAGAAACAGGGTTGTACGATAGATTTACCTCCACGTGGTGCATCCAGGGCAACGTATACTCATACGGCAAAAGTCTATTATTCGGCAGTTGATCCCTGACTTAAAACTACCATGACTCCATTGTAAGTCATATTCCATCACTTTCGCAGTACTCACCTTACCCTTTTTTCTACCTTCCTGTCTGTCTCCTTTACAGCAGCTAATCAATCTTTGTTCCACCTCTCGACTTTTCTCACTTTGGTGTTCCTCCTCCTCTGTGAAGCCCGAAGTCAGCTATAAGGCTAATGATACCTATCAAAACGCTGTCCATTTGAAACATCATGTAGAAGTTAGCAAAAAGAAATCGTCTTAAAAGTTCACAAAGAACAAAAAATTTTAATTTTAATTGTCTTAGAAGAAAGAGTCGCGCAAATAGTGATGATCTGCTCAATCCTTTAAACCGCATGTGCGTATGAACAAATAAAGTGAACTTACTTTAATAAGAGGCGAAATGGAAATATACTCAATTTCCCAAATTTTCGACTATCAACTTCGTAAATCCCTTTCGACAGCCTCTCAAACAAGCTCCAAATAGATGAAAATTAAATTGTCAAACCCCCCCCCCCTCACACCCAACCTTCTAGGCAAGCTTTAAACACTACGAAAATAATCTAAAACACAATCACCGAAAAGACTGAAAATAAAATCGATTTGTTTGAAACGTCCTTGAGCCAGTGGCATACAATTTCGATTTGTTAAATGTAACAGACAAACACTAAACGCTTATTTACTTGCTGAAATTCTCTAGCAATTGTTGGGAGGATAAAATCCCGAAGTTAGCTCAATAGTCTCCAAACTTGTATTTTGAACTATATTGGATGATTAATATGCGATCTGCGAGCAATTAAAGCTCGGCTTCATGTTACGTTTAAACATGTTGAAACCTACTAAGGAGACGCATATTAATACTCGACCACTGGCCATAGCTATACCATTCGAAAAGCAGTCAGGGTACACGAGGTTCAGATCTGGAAGAGTTAAATCGACGGTAAAATGAACGTAGGTTTAATCGATTGAATTACTTTATATGGGGTGTGCGATAGACTTACCTCCACGTGGTGCACCCTGGGCAACGTATACTCATGCGGCAAAAAAGTCTATAACCCGTCAGTTGACTTCTCACTTCAAACTACCAACATCCCACTGTATGCCATATTCGAATTCTTCCACGGTGCTCACATCACCTTTTTTCTACCTTTATGTCTGTCTCTTTTACATTTTTAAAACACTCTTCTGTTCACCCTCCCCTCTGGACTTTTTTTCGATTTGATGTTCCTCTCCCTCTGTGAAGCCTGAAGTCAACTAAAGGGCTAATGATAACTATCATAAAGCCTGCCATTTGATATAAATAAATTACTTTATATAACTTTGCTCTTCTGCAAGTTCTCAAGACCCTATTGCTCATCATATGAGGATTAATGTCAGGAGGGTGAGGTGTGTTTCAAATGGCAGGCGTTATGATAGGTATCATGGGGTGTGCAATAGACTTATAAACTTACCTCCACGTGGTGCAGCCTGGGCAACGTATACCCCTCCACGTGGTGCACCCTGGCCAACGTATAATCATACGGTCTTACCTCCACGTGGCGCACCCTGGGCAATGTATACTACACCTTACCTCCACGTGGTGCACCCTGGGCAACGTATTCTCATTCGGCTACCTCCACGTGGTGCACCCTGGGCAATGTATACTCATACACCTCCACGTGGTGCACCCTGGGCAACGTATACTCACGATAGACTTACCTCCAGGTGGTGCACCCTGGACAACGTATACTCAAATGACATACCTCCACGTGGTGCACCCTGGGCAACGTATACTCATGTGACAAAAAAGTCTATAAACCGGCAGTTGACTTCTGAGTTCAAGCTATAAAAAAGTCTATTAACCGGCAGTTGACTTCTCACTTCAAAATACCATCACCCCACTGTATGTCATATACCACCACTTCCACAGCACTCATCTTACCCTTTTGGAGCCTTGTGTCTGTTTCTTTTACATCTTTGAAACACCCTTCTATTCTCCCTCTAGAATTCTTCTCACTTTGACGTTCCTCCCCCCCCCCCTGTGAAGCCCGAAGTCAACTAAAGAGCTAAAGATAACTATCAAAACGCCTGCCATTTGTTATAAATAAATGTCAGGAGGGTTAAAGGACATTAGTGATGCCCCTGCCAGTTCGATATTCGAAAGGACTTTCGATTGATTTCCAACTGAAACCGCGTTGAGTCTGTCCTTCACAAGTATTTGTCCTTAATTGCCCATCGCAAGGCGGGTGATGAACTAATGGTTGTTCAGAAGGCAATGCTAGGCATGTGCAAAAAATGTTAAATTAGTAATACACTCTGGAATTAGGAAGGCTGCTGTGAGAAACCTCGCTGCACAGTTTTTAGAAGTGTAAGCTTAACCTCCCGTAAGTCCATGCAAAAGAACCAATAAAACCGCTAAGTTATTGCTTATTGCAAATTCCCTGTCATGCACGCAGTTTAAACATGTGATCCAACCACTCTCTTTACTCACACCTCCCATTGTGTTTGCCCAATACACCAATGGTCCCCTCCTCTCACCCATCCCCTCAATTATCGTTCTTCTCACTCGAAAAAGGCAATTTCTTCTGTTTAACTGAGTCCCATCATAGACAGTCTTCTTTAGCTTAGATCCATTGACGCATCGATGCACGAAACTATTCTTCATCATGTCCTGGCAGGACACTGTCATTTGAGCCGAGACAATGACCTTGAGGGGAGGAAATGAAGGATGGGGGTAAGAAGTGGATGGGCTTAGCTTTACTCAGCTCACTTAAACTACATCTGAACTTTATTGAAAACCTACTTAAGACTGTTTAATACCGCTTAATAAGTCTGATTTATTTTTAATAAAACAGATGAGATATGAATAAATGGTAACTGGTAGTTGGTAAATGCGTCGATTTCGATTGCTTTCTAATGAGAAGAGAGAAGATTTTCACTGAGCGTGAGGTCGGCCTCTGCGTAAACGGGCCATAAATTGTCTGAAAAAATCGAAAACAAAAGGAAGGTAAATAAACTAACTCAAATAGGGTCTTTAAACCGCATTCAAGTACCTCAATTTCAAACGAAGTTGATGACAATGAGCCATCAAGTAACTCCTTTCCGTAGAGATTTGAAGAAGTAGTGGGAAAATTAGACAGAAGAGGGACGAAAGGTAGGTCCATAGTTCGATTGAACCTACCTTGTTAACAAATGAAGAACAATGCTAGGGTTGGATATGAGCGATCAACAACAACTTGAATTTCAACCAATTGAACTTACAAAGAAGTAGAACCGAACAAAATCCAGACTGTAAAGGAAGAAGCCGAGAATATGCCATAGTCCAAGGAATATTATCACGTAGAGAATGACCAGCCCACTTGTCAATTGTCGCAATGAGGCAAGAGCTCGCCTCACTTCTCCCAGAGCCGGTTTCTTTTCACTCAGACGGGGAGAGAATCTCAGATCTGTTTGCCTATTAAAAAAGGGTTTATCAGTTCATCAAAGTGCCAACAGCCTCCATCTTGACCGTGTTAAATAATCATTCAAATTAGCC